GTGTGTGTGTGTGTGTGTGTGTGTGTGTGTTTTAACATAAAGATTAACAAAGAACTCACTGAATGCTGCTCTGCGAACAAAAACAAAAAGCATCCTTACTGCGAATTCTCTGTAATGCAGTTCGTGCAGTTTATGTTGTACACGTGTCAAGTTTGTGTGGGCACATGCGTCACTCAATGTCTGTATGAATTTTAATTAGACTTTCTGCATGCAAGTGTGACAAAGATTTACAAGCTTAACATCTTGTTGCCATAGATGTTAAGCTTGAACTCCCTCTGTGATAACTTCTCGATGTGCCTCAGCCCTTTATCTGTAATGAGAATGTTGTTCTGGAAATTTTGATAATTGGTTTTGAAACAAAGTCAGCAGTCACAATAGACGGTTTTTCTCAGGATATGCACAGTTTGATTTCCAAGGCCATATTTCTTATTAACTCACTGAATGTTTGCTTTCAGAATAATGCTGAAAGTCATTCAGAAATCATGCAACGTGTTTATTTTGTTTGTTTTGGGGTTTTGTTTTTGTTTGTTCTTCTGTTCGTCCAGATCAAAATAATTATATACGGTAAATCTTTTAAGCATACCTGGATTTTGAATTATTTAACATGGAGATAAATTTGTATGTTTGTAACTGTAACTGTGTTTGAACTATGATGTACAGTACCTTGTGTACTTATATCAAACCAGCAGTTATGTAGCTTCCTCCATGTGCAGGGAAATAGGAAGATAGAAAGAGAGAGAGGCTGTTTTTCATTGCAGGCATGCTTTTCTCCCCTCGGTAAATTCTTTAGTTAGCTTGGTAAGGATTAGGTCTGAAAAGTCTCTCATTTGCCGCCAAAGCCCTCAGGGATTCATTGGTGAAGACATTCAGCGTCTCTACTGCTTCCCTCTGAATTTAACTTTGCCATTTATTTATTTTTATTGCAGCCCACGTCTGATTTGCGCTCTCTTTTGCATGTTGCGACTGTCTTTATGATACATTTAAACTTTTTTTCAGCTCTTTGTTGCTTGAGGTACTGTACACTAATTTAGAGATATTGGACTGTAAATTTGAATGCAAGTGTACATTTCAGCATTTGATATTTCTTTCAGTTTTGTATCAGGTTTAATGAGAGTTAGTATAAAGAATTGCTCTCTTTGTTGTAGATTTTTATCCTAGATCTTATCCTGTAAGCTCCGCCTTTGCGCATGGAGAAAATATGCCTAGAAAAGATTTGATCTGAAAATTGTTCACATATCCTTGTGAATTACAAGCACTTTGGAAACACTTTGGAAATACCAGCTGAGTTGAAAGCCTGAGGCTATGTGGGATACACCCTAATGGAAAACAGCTCGGGGATAAAGGTAATGGTTGGTACAGACTGCAGGAAACTGTAAATGGGATAAAAGACACTAGCTCAAAAGAAAGAGGTACATTCCACCAAGTGTCTGACTGAAACCATTTTTCTTCCCCAAGGCTACATTTTGAAATATTTCGACTTGCAGCAAAATAAATGTCAGGCACATTAGAATGAAACATTAAATGATATGTGGATAATCACCATTTCCTTTAGCATTACCTCTTAAGGCATCCTTCTTAATTATGACGAGAGATAAGAAGAATATCAAATGTTGGAAAATATTTTATATTGATTCTTTGTGACCAACTGATGTTAATTAGAAGAAGTGCTGGAGCTTTTTGACTCATATAAGCTGTTGTCAACACCAGAGTTAGCACCCAATAAAGGTAACTGCTCGTCCTTGTAATTGCTCGAATACAAAGCTATGGCTTAACTTTGAAACAATTGAGATTTTATATATTTATATATGCTATTCCAAGTTAATTCAGTTCCAGTGTTGAACTTCGACTATATACAAATCTTTCTCATGTTTTTGAAAAAAATACAGTTTCTCCTTCCCTCCCTTCTCCCACTATGTCGGTGGAATGGAGTTAAAACTTTAAGCAGCTGAGCTTAACAGAGAGAAACTCTTTCTCTCTTTGACAGAGAGAAACAGGGATGACATGACAATGGAGGGTGAGGGACTGTGTTCAGAGATGAGTGGAGGGTAAAGGCAGAGTCATGACCAATGATGGTATAAATGACCTCTACTGTACATCAAACATCATTTTACTTCAGCTCAGAAGATAGTCAGGAACACATGAGGATAACTTGTGAAAGACAGGATGATGGGTTATGATCAGAGATGAGAGAGAGAGGAAAAGCAGGGTCATGGCCAGTGATTATATAAACAACTGCTACTCTGTTTCAGACAAACGTGGTCCAAGTGCTTAAGCTTGGCAGATGCTCTGTCATTCAAGAACAGTTTTCGGTTGCTTTGTTGGTGTGTTTATGGAAAGTGGCTATTCTTGCTCAATCCAGTGAACTAAACTCGGGTTAATTTAGCAACAGGGATGCATAGGGAGATGTACATGAGCGTTAGTGTTAAGTAGTTGGTATCCAACCTGTTATGGAAGGTGGCATTCAAAGGAACCTTGTAATTGAAGTCTAATACTAGAAGTTGTATAAATGACGTGGACTTCCATACTCATGGGTAGTGCAGAAAATAGATTTGTCCTTTGCAGTTGCGAAATTAAGCATATTTTCAGATTCTTGACCTTTTTGGTTTTTATAAGTTGTGATAGAAATCCCTTTGAAGATACTACATGCTGCTTCTGCAACAGCTGCACATTGCTTCTGCCACCCTCAAAAAAAGTGCCAGAAAACACATTGAACCACTACATTGTTGAGTCACATTAAAATATTATCAACCAAGCTACAAGTTAATGCAGCAATGTCACATAAAGGCCCAAGCTCACAAGCCACAACAGCAGATCAAAATGCCAAGCTCTCCACAGGGATGCTATGGTATTAGGGGTGGGCGATATAAACGATATACGATAGAAACGATATAAATTTGGCCAACGATAGAGATTTTGACTATACCGCTCTATTGCGATAGCGCATGTTGATGATGTCACCTGTTTTGGTCAAAAGCATCACAGTGGCTACAACCATTATCATCTGCAAATTATGCCGACAATCATAGCAAAGAGATGAAGCACTTTTGAAATATGGGAAAAGCCAAAAACTGCGCTTCTTCACTTCCGTAACATTGATTCATTAATGTTGAATTCTCTCGCAGGTGTTCTAGTCCCATGTTGTTGCAGTATATTAATAACTAACCTCGTATTGTGGATGAATAATCTCAGTTGTTCTC